GGGGAGAGGGTCAGCAGAGAGACGTCGCCCCCCTCTACCGGCAGCGGCTGGACGCCGGCCCTGACCCAGGGACTCCTGGAGGAGGGCAGAGCCGGTGCGCGCTCACCGGGGATGAGCTGCTCCTGCAGCTCCCCGGCAGAGCGGAGCGGGAGAGCAGATCGGCCGCCAGCGCTGCTCCTCCACCTGTGAACCGCAGGGTCACGCGCGCGCGCCTTGCTTAGTGCTGATAAGGGAACCGTCACGGCCCTCCTCCGCTCAGCCGGCTTGCTATCGGTGTCCCGCTGCTGCTGGTGGCAGCCAGGTAGCGATTTCTAGGCCTAATTGAGCATTAGTTAAATCTGTCCTTGGCACAAAGGTGAGCTAGAAAGCTACGACGTGAGTGCGGCTCTCCGCTGCCTGAGCCTGCGATAGGGAAGAGCACCCAGCGCCTCTGCATCCCTCGGGACACAGATTTGCCCTAAGGCGGAGCGAAGGGCTCGTGTGAGAGCTACCGAGCTCTCCGCGCGGCAAACAAACACAACGTGCCCGCACCTGACGGTGCTGGGGCGCAGCAATGAGCTCTGCGCGGGACGAGGAGCTGCTCCGCACCCCGAGGCACTTGCCTATTGAAGGGAGGTGATGACCGGGCCGGAGCACGCCGGGAAAACGGGAGACCGGCACCGGGCGCCGCGCTCCCATCTTCCTTGTCGCAGGACCCTAAGGAGTTAACACAAAATGCCACCTACTGTATTTTATCTCTCCTCCATTGAGGCAGCTCTGACACTGGCAGCAGAACAATGCTAAATTCTGATTAGCTCTGGTTTTCCAGCAAGAGGAGAGGCACAAGAGGGTGGGGAATTAATACTATTCTGCATAATTTTTAATCTAAATTCCGTTTCTTTTCTTTTCTTTCTCTAGGAAGCAAACAATCTAGGGGGTTTTGTACTCAATTTCTTGCTTTCATAATCTAAATGAATTGTTTGCAAGTAGGAGCCAGCTGCAAAGCTGGCAATCTCGGATCAAATCTGCCTTTCTCCTAGTTCTAGCAATCATTAATTTGCTCCTCAGCTCTGATTAGCTAATCCTGGCTGCCTTGTGGCAGTTTGCAGGGAAAAACAGCGTGTGAGCTGCAGCTCCCTTTGACAGAGCTGGAGCTGGCAGCGGGGTGAGGGGATTGATTTCTGCCGGGTCCGCGGTGCTCCTGGTTGTCAGCTCTCCGGAGAGGAGGGGGGTGCTCTGGGAGGAAAGGCTGGCAAGGTTATTTATGGAATCCTGGCATTTTGGAAATATCAGAGGATGATTCTTTCCCCTGCTCTGTGCAGGGCGTGCTAGTTTGTTACACCGAGACTAATTAGCTGGGCTTTAAAATAGGAATCGAAGACACTGCAGCAGCCTCCCGCTCAAAAATATCTGGGTGCTGCCCCATTTTTCTGATGTTGCTGGTGTGCCCGGGGGACGTGGCGGAGCTGTTACCTCTATTTCACGCGTGGGAAACCGAGGCACGGGTCTTTGGGTGTTGGTGGATGGCGGCTCACAAAGAACAAGCCTCAGCAGCGGGGCTGTCTGGCAGGGGATGTGGTGCCTGTCGTGCTAGGCCCTCGTTTATTACGTGGCGAATTAAGAGCCGTAGTCTCAACCCCTGCTGCGAAGCTTGGAGAGCTCCTGCCTGGCAAGCACGGACCCGGCCAGGGGTGTCCAAACGGGAGGTCACCTCCCCAGGCTGACTGCTGCCAGTCACCAGAGCATCAGCTCCTGATATCCAGCTCCCCGTGATCCCGTTTTTCACAGACCCAGGGGCTCAGGCGAGTTGGACACGGCGCTGCTGGCCCGCGTGCCACTACGCTGGCTGGGTGTAGGGCTGCTGCTGGCCTCCCGCGCCCCTTTCCTGCACGTAGCTCTGCAGGCCTTGTGTTTCAGCTGCTATCTGGCTGTGTTTTATTCCGACATGCTCCTTTTCCAGATCAAATTCCCCAAGTGCTGGGGGTGGATCCTTTTAATTTTCATTTGTTTCAAAGCCGTACACGGCTTACAAGCATGACAGAAATGCGCCTGAGCGCAGGAAATGGCCTACTTAGCTGCAGGAGCAGAGCAGGCTTTTCCATCGCGCTGACTCCCGGGACCCCATCCTCCCGGGGGACCGGCGCAGCTGTCTGCTTCCCTCGTGGCACGTGTGTTTCTGGAGCTTCTCTTCAGGAGATGTTCGGTCCCACCATAAAGCCCAAACGGCCTGTCCAGGCAGAACGGTGCCGGGGAGCAGAGTTTTGGAGGGTACTTCCAAGTTCTGACACCTAACTGCCGTGCGACAGTTCTGACA